TTCAACTATGACAATTTGTTGCGGGTTGTCTAAATATGTGACATCACACTAAAAGAGTCTATGCTGCCACCTTTTGATATACATTCTTATTAAACTATACGACGTTAGATACATACGGAAAAGAAATCTATTTTTTTTTTAACAAATAAAAATAATTCTTTCCTTAGTGCGGTACTACGGTAGGAAATAGAAATCTTAATGATAGATGGCAGAAGCGTCAATCGACAATACCCACAAAAATAGGTAACAGTTTACACTGCAAGAAAATTTGAAAATTATTAAATGGTAGAAGTCACTATTAGCAGTTGGCTTTGCTTTACAAATTAATTATACAGAATAATTGATCACTACACATATATAAATAACGAAATAAATATATTTACTCTGCACGGTATTCTTCTATATTTCACCTACAGAAATAACAGGTTTTTGCCATGAGTAATCCACTAGCTACTATTTTAACAAATGTGAGTTAAAGTTATAGGTAAGTATTTTTTTGTTTGTTTCTAAATTAAGTAAATTATTAATTTTTATTAAAAAGTAAAGGGAGGAAAAAGTTATAATTTGGATGAGGAAATAGTAACGATTTTGTCGAAATACAGGAAGCAATTGGAACATATTATACGTAGTTATTAAAACGGAAAATCTTAGTGTTCTCTAGGTTTTCCAAAATGTGGCCATCTATTTTTAATGGAAAAGTCTTGCCGAGTAATAAGGACAGTGGTATATTTATTCAAATTTTAGGCCAACGTTGACGTTTGGAATTAGGGACACAGGTATATATGCCACTGCGCCGTCGCCTTATTCAAAAGCCACAACAGCGGGAAGGTCGGATCGGATCGCCGTAGAAAGTCCACCACGACACCGGTACCTTCCTCCGTGCACGAGGCATTCGTTTGCCGACAATGAGGCCGGGCGTACGGCGCGCGGATTTTGGCGCGTAGTTTTCCGAAAAAGAAAACTCAAAAACCATGTGGCAAAAACATTTTCGGAGTGCGTACTGTGTGTGACAGTGATTAGGAGTGAAAGTGTACAAACGATGTTGGAAACATGCCATTCGTTCAGCGTTTTGTCGAGCCGAAATATTTAAGTCGAACGAATCTCTTCGACGAGGATGGTAATCCGAGAGTTTCGGACGACGAGCTGCAAGCCGTCACCAACAACACCCTCTGCAATGCCCTCAGGCAGCTAGCTTCGCTGGTACTAGTGGCCGACGACATCTTCACGAACCTCGGAGGTCAGCTTCAGAGTATAAACAAAAGGTCCGAATCTGTGAAGGTGAAAATTAATGCCCTCGAAGAGAAGGTCACTAAGTTCGACCCCAAGGAAGTCACAGTTCGTAAGTAATGGCCTTTTCAAGGATACCTAGTGCCTACCATCCCTAACCGATAGACGAAGTAATAATAAACGGATTCATCCTGTATAGAAAATAAAAAAATAGTAATGGGTAGTTTTTTTGAAAATTTTTTCATCGAAATAAAAGGAAGAGAAACTATAATATCGTGTGGAAGTAAATAATTCAACTGAGGTCGTTCGTCGAGGGTCTGTCTACTGCTTAATTTCCGTTAAATTATACTAGTACGTGACGCTTTTACCTGGCTCTAGATGGGTTGTTACTAAACTAAAACATCGTGTATTTTCTGAAAACCGTTCTCATTCCACCGTGTATAATCGACATGGAGATAGGTACCTATCTTTGAAGGCCAGGAATCATCACGCAAGAAAAATAAAGGAGGGTAACTAACATATTCTGTGGTAACACCGAGCACTTCATCGTACATACGTTACCTTGAGTCCGGGCTGAAAGAATCGACTTTTTGCAATTCTTGTCTAACTATTCAAAGACAAGGTCGTCGATATAGCCGCGTTCGTTCGGACCCTGGCACGGCTCTATCGATAGAATCCGAGAATCATTTTATGTTAATTTGTAGTAATTAAAAAACATTGTGAGTAAATCAATAAATTATTTTTATCAAGCTTCTATCTGCATTAGAAACTTTCCAATGTAGGTACTTAAAGTAATAATATAGAATATTGAAACACTCTTATTTGGCTGTATATTCAAATAAAACGTAGAAGTTCTTACACTAACGAGCTAAATCGCTTAATACACATCCGGATGTTGTAATTGATATAATTATTGAAAGCGCGGTAGAGGGCATGCATGCAGCTCACGTTAATATAATCGTGTCTTTTCGCCTTCTTCAATGTTCTGGTTAACGAAAATATTTGTCGAGAAAATCTTCATCACAACATAAAAAACGAACTGTGCTAAATAAATATTTATACACGTATTATCTTCCATTGCGGCAATACAGCGTTTGTACAGAAAACTCGCACGTATTTGTATCTATAGGGCGACCCGTAATAATTTTCCCAGACCATATTATCGTTTTTTATAATGATGGAAGAAAGAAAATATTTTTATATAAAAGCAAATAGGAACTTCTACTTTTAATATAATTCAAAACAAACTCGAAGTGAAATCGGAATGACGTGTACCATTTATTTACTTTTAGGGGAATTGCAGATTTTAAAAAATAAAAATTATCAATTTCGTAAAGGCGAGCTCTAAAAATCTATAGAACTGGCCTGTATGTGTATGTGTGTGAAACACGACGGTTACAACACCAACAACCGGAGGTAGTGGGTAATACTAACTGCCCTTCTGCTTTCCGGTCGTCGTCGTCGTCATCGTTGTTTCTAATCATGTGAACGATGACTGAACTAATATACAAATATAACGGTCGCAGACATTGCATTAAATGTATTTAATGGCTATTTCCATTTTTAAGCAATAGTTGTATGACTGTCAAAAATTGTTTGTTCTTGCATCCCGTGGAAGGGAATCGAATTTCGTAAAATGATATACCTAGGTACCTAGCTGTAAAATTATATGCATATCAAGTGTATTTTTAATTATGTGAAGCCAGACAAAAATGACGCATCGAGAAAAATTCAAGTCCACGAGTACAGGATCATACATAAATCTCTTTTTATTGCAATTTACTATTTAGATATTTGAATGGGACATAATGCAGATATAAAGTGTTGCAGAATATGCAATAAAAAAGAACAATTAAACATGAATTTATTTTACTAATTCCCCAACTGTATAAACTGGAATGGAATACACAGCAACTGTTTCAAACGACCTTATAAACAAAACGGATGGAGCTCTGGCGATCGGGCGGGCCATTTCTTAACTTAACAAGTTTCGTATAGTTTGGGCATATTTCGACGAATTTCCAGCGAAACATCACCCAGCGAATCATTTACCATGTTGCTTAAAGGTATATTTACCTTCGACCATCTAACCGATCTGGTATAACGTAAGTTAAACCGTTCGTTTACTATTCCGATCCAAAATTTACTGAAAATCCACTACCTAATTACAAAAATGCTATCGGTATACTCGTAGCTGCTCATTTAAAATCCTCCAAATTGAACTTTTTGATTCATTGTGCTGTAAAGTCGTTCTGCGAGAGCTAGTTCCAGGATTATTTGCAACATTCTCTAATCTTTTTTTTGCAAAATACAACAATTAAAAAAAATGAGATTCACGCAAAGCCATTACTCATCTTGCTTTGCTGGTGCTGGTGTCATATTGCAGTGCGTTTTTAACTTTACGCCAACTGTTCAATTAATCACAAAAAGACAAGGAGGAGCCCACGTGCCAGGAATTTGCAAAACCCCGTCATATGGCGATGAACATGCCATGTGTTCCAGTTGAGGCAAACGCTATCCCGACCGATATTTTTCTTGGGTCCTTCACGTGTAGGAAGCGAACGATACTGATGTCGCCCACGAACCATTGTTTTATTATTTATTAACACACAATGGCGAAAAAAGAAAAATCACCAACTTACGAGGAAAAATAAAGACTTTTCAATAAGCCGGTGATTTCCACTTTAAATAGGAGCTTTAACAGTAGGGACTTTTCGTCACGAATAACAGTTTTAACCGTTAGAAAACACCATACATACACCTACGTCTTACGTGGTTCAGTCAATAGAAACCTACTAAATTAATATCAATGTTTGGAAAAAGCAAACAAGATCTAAGCCTAATTTATTATTTTTTTTTCACTTTTTCATGGATTGGTGTTACGTGCAGATACGAAAAATGTGTATCTGGTTTTCGTCTACAACGGCATACTACGTCTTGTGTTTATCGGCAGATCATCTGATTTTAGAGTGTTTAGTTTTTAGTTTTTAACCTCAGTTTGGAAATTCGTTCCTAAAAGCTTGGTAGATAGGTACCTACAGCCGTCGACAATAAAATCTTTCCAATCTGAAACAGTGAAATGTTGAAAGCAAATACCTACATTTATGTTTTCACCGTTAAGATTTAACTATTTTTCAAGAACTTTGTCACTCTGCATCTGAAACTCGTACTTATGAAACTTTTTTTTTTATGTGCACTACGTATAGCCGATTTGTTTACCCCCATTCCCAAATTATTCTAAAGTTTTATATTTGAAAGATCTGACCACCTTAGTGTAATAAAAATATAATATACTATTAAATTTACTACATAGTAATTACAGCAAATTAAAAATGGATATTAAAATTATAATTCTTGTGATCTCAAAAATGGCACTATTCGAGCATTTTTGTAAATACAGCAAAGAAACATACAAACATTGGAAACAGCAACAGCATTGAACTCTCAACAGTACAGCTTCATTTACGCTGAACAGCAAGCATTGGAATCATTTTGTTGTCCACAGCTGTACGTACGTACGTACGTGATTTTCGAAATAATATATCTATGTATTTACAAGGCGTATTCGATGGAAATCTCATGATAACGGTTCTTAGAAACAAAAAACGGATTTGCAACAACACAGGACGTCAGACTTTAACAGGCGAAAGCGAGGTCTCTATTTGACAATCCGCGGTTGTATCGGTTATTAAAGTATTTACTTAATTCTACTTTACTTTGCCTTTGCCTTCGTTCCTCATTACAGCGCGATCCTTGGCTAAATCGATGTTTCTAAGGACACAGGTGCAGTAAAACAACTATGTACATAAGTGGTCAATAACATGGAGAAACTTAGACTCCGCCTTTATGAACAGACAGCGTATTTTTCCAAATGGCCGCAGGTGCGCTTGTCCATGTCCAGGCAACCATCACGCACTATATTTTTGTTCGACGCATATGGCATACTGGAAAAAATATTCCAATTTCATACACCTAGCCTAGAACACAACCGATAATGCAGAAATCTAAGTGCCATGTATTATCGACGCTATCTCTTGTTCACATAAATATTAAATCTGGCGGTAAATTTAAATTGCTTAAAAGTACTTTTTACGAAAATTATTTGTTTTTGTTTTTACCATTGTCTTCAACAAACTGTAATTTTTAGTATAGCTATACTGATAAATAATAAATACACAACTGTAAAGACAATAAGTAAAGATGAAATAAGTAGGTATATTTTTTTCTAGATTTTAAAAGTATTAAGCTAAATCAAACTCAAAATTTTTTTCCTATAAAAATTATCAAACAAAGTCAAGGTTCTTTGATTTTTTGTCAACTCCATAGACAAGATTCTAGTGAAATTGCGAAAAATGACTAACTGAACTAGCATTGAATTATATAGGCATGTGTTCCCCCAATTTTTATTCGTAGTTTCGAGATAAATTCCTTTAAGGCCAAATTATTAAAGTAAGTTTAACTTACAATTAACTAACAATAAGCTCAGAATGTGATTTAATGCAATTAAAACGTACCGACATCAACACATTCTAATCTTCCAGTTAGTTAACTGTAAGATAAACTTACTTTATTAATTTGGCCCTTAGCTCTCTGAACGTATGTACTAGTGAGCAAGCCGGCGTATATTAAAATTAATAGCTCCCGACTCCAAATATGGAAATTAAAACGAGAGGAATTTCTGAAGGAGATAAATTCCCACGCCGGCAGCTAGCTTAACAGATATCGCACCTGTAATATTCCTGGGAATATATAAAGATGGAGCCCTCAAGGGAGTTACCAACCCCCTTAGGAGATCCTAAAATTCACTTTGAAAACTCGGAAAATTAAATTGAAACATTCCTTTTATACTCTAGTCCACCGAAACCTTACACGTAAAAGGAGATTTTAATAATCGCCAAATTTTTAAAAATCCTTTACTTTGTTTTTGAAACACTTTTTTTGAGAATTATATACAATTTTAGTTAGTAGCAAATGATCTGACGACGACCATACACGTCGTCCCGAAAGACAATATGACCTTTTAAAGTTAGCAGACATTGTTAAAATTTTCTTGGAAATAAACTTTGAATTGGGTCGTCTGACAAAGGGAATTTAAAAAATCGAAATAACAAG